TAAAACGAAATACGGAGAAACGGGGAACTGTTTATCTTTTCTAACCTTTACATATTGTAACAACACGATGCTCTGTGCGAGACTATAAAACACTGCCCCCTATTGCTAAAGAAAAACTGCGGAATAAAGGTAGGCTTCAGTTCACCTCAATTGCACCTACATTTCACCTGACTTCAAACTGAATTTAGCTTTAGACTTTTTATTATTAATGAATATTTATTAGTGCACATATGGATTATGACTTATATTTATAATACTCACGCGGAAGAAACTGCCACAGGAGTCTAGTTGTCTGATCGGGAAGACGAAGCGCACAACCGGAGGAGTCACGTTCGCATCCAGCGTCCCCTGACACAACGGGTCATTTGCGATTTGATTCAGGATCAGCAGGGTCTCGTTATATCCGCTGTAAACGACCGGGCAAGCCTGAATTGCCAAATTTATAGAATTTGTCCCGCAACTTACGCCAATGTCGGTGATTTCTGCAAGTAAAAGACAAGCTTCCTGAGGCCTTTGCTGTAAGCTAATTATTATAGTTGGTTAAAAAGAAAACAAACACATACCTGGACGCCTGTAATTATTCCCACAGCTAGCAGGAGTAAGACCCAGATAGCCAGGCTGAACCAGCGTACCCAAAATCAAGAGTCTGAGCAGAACCATGTCAACCATGCTCTTCATCAATGTCCAAAAATCTTGATAAGCTCCTGAATGTATCCTTTCCGTTTTAACTAACTCCCACAGGCTTCAGCCTTATATATACATAAATATGTAGGCAAAGTTAGTTAGGGCCCTTCTGCTGGATTGGACCAAAACAAGGTCATTTGCCATTTGGTATGGTTGCTTTTACTTGAGAACAATTAACTTTTGTGGATAAGGTACCAGTACCTTGAGGCAAACCTTGAAACCTTACACATAACCTTTAAAGTTAGTTCTTAAACAATGACCAGCGTCTTTGTCATCTTCTACATCCTGAAACATATAAAGATGTAATTTAATAAACTAAGTTCCAACTCCATTGAAGAGGCACGCAATATATGGGAGGTTTTGGCTTCTCTTTAGGACCTAAACATTTAGAAAGCCGTCTAGGAAGTGTGACCTCTGACCTCTTTGAATGCTTTTTGTGAGTTTCCTAAAGTAAATCTTAATGGTCACTGCATAAAATCATAATTATTTGATGGTTGGGACAATGGTTGTCAATTGGGATGTGCTGAAGGGATTTGTTTAGGATTTTTTACACAATGAAAGGCAGTGCAAAACTCCAAAACTGGATGTCACCTACTTTAATTATACACTAAGAAAGATTTTTGCTGCTTGTCCAATCTACCTATTTACAATGAGCTGAAACAACACAATTCTGATTCTTTTTTGGGTCACCTAACTGTTTTATGTTACATATACAGTTGAAGTCAGAATTATAAGCTCCCCTATGAATTTTTAATTCTTTTAAAAATATTCACCAAACAACATTTAACAGAGCAAGGACATTCTCACAGTATGTCTGATAATATTTTTTTTCCTCTGGAGAAATCCTTATTTGTTTTATTTTGGCTAGAATAAAAGCAGCTTTTAATTTTTAAACACCACTTTAAGGTCAGAATTATTAAATCCTTTCAGCTACAATTTGTTTTGATATTCTACAGAACAAACCATCATTATACATTAACTTGCCTATTAACCTTACCTGCCTAGTTAAGCCTTTAAATGTCACTTTAAGCTGTATAAAAGTGTCTTGAAAAATATCTAGTAATTGTTTTTACTATCATCATGGCAAAGATTAAAATAAATCAGTTATCAGAGATGAGTTATTAAAACCATCATATTTAGAAATGTGTTGAAAAAAAATATTTTTTCCGTTAAACAGAAATTGAGGAAAAATTGAGGGGGGCTAATACTTCTGACTTCAACAATATATATATATATATATATATATATATATATATATATATATATATATATATATATATATATATATATATATATATATATAGTTCCAACTAATAAGCAGATCCAACTAATTTGAAGTTTTTCATGTAATACATCATTCATAATAGACTTTCCAAACAGTAAAATCTTGTGTTATAAATTATTACTGCAGCTCTCACCTATCAACGGGTGAGAATATGGAATCTGTGACTGGTAAATCAGTGGTAGATTCTAAATTCAGTGACGTTTATTAGAAAAATGAGGTAAAATTTGTGAAATGCCAACAGAATTGTAATGTGAACCTGTCAGCCGAGCTACCTGGGAAGGACAACACTTAATTGGGGTCAAATTAGAGAGCTGGGTGTTGGCTTTTTTCTATTGTCAAGGACACAAAACCACAGAAAATGTTACAAAGTACAGACCTCACCATAATGTATTGCTTGACATATATTCAGTTAAATTTGTTGATGTCTTTCCTCTTATGTCCTTTACGAAGTAGACGTGTAAATAAAAATGATATAAAGGAATATAATGAAACATCAATATGGATTAATTTTATTATCCTCACATATCAAAATGTTTAAGTGCAGAAGACAAAATCTGTTCAGCAAAAACTTAAGGTTGTACATATTTACAATTTAAAAAAAATCCAAAAAAAGAATGTGAAACAGGATATAATGGCACTTCATTGTAAAGGAATAAAAATGATATACAGTAGGTCTACATCTAACACATTTCAGACATATTTTACACAATATGATTGATTTTTGTTGTATATAAAAACTGTCCAGGTTAATTGTTAATTTAAAGGGGTTATATGTGTAAATTATGTAGTATTAAAACAAGACCTTAAAAATATTATAAAAACTATGTGGTCTAAACAAAGCCTCTGTTTTGCTATATTACAAAAACTAGCTATTTTACTGTTCAAGATAATGCTGCAAAAGCTACTATGATAATTTGTCAAATATAAATTAGACAATTATTAAACGTGTCATTCTAACAACCTCATTTGTCAAAATGATTACAGTGAATTGACATACATATAACTATGATCAGGGGCTTTTTCAACTGCTGTATTCTCACCACTGTATTTTTTTCTTGTGCATTTACTTTGTTATTAAGTGGGAAGAGAGCATATTTCTAAGGGTGCATATTTCTATTTAAAAACACTGTAGAAAGTTAGTGGGTCAATTAATTTGTACCTCCCTTAACACATAAGATTAACAGATTGATGACAAGATGACAGATCACAATAACAAGCCTTCGGCTAATTTGTTACTTCAAACAAGCTTGTGAATCAGATTTAAGTATATTAGATGAAATTTTGCGAGAATAATGTGTATGTTTGAGTTTATTGTAAAGTATTCATGCTCAAAATCTTGATCAACAATGCAGCGATTAACTGGAGGAGACACAACAGTATAATGGCATCATCTAATTGAAAGTCACAAACAACTTGATAAAAAAGGCTTATATCATAGGTCGCAAATTCAATTCCTGGACGGTCGCAACTCTGCACAGTATTGCTCCAACCCTAATCAAACATAGCTGATGCAGCTTATCAAGGTCGTAAAGACTCTTTTAAACACTTTCATTAAGCTGCAGTCTCACTGGACTTTTCTCCCCATAGACTTCTATTCATACGCATGCAAATGTTTCAAGTTTCGCAGTTCGCTGCTTTGCAAGCTTGGTGAACTCTAACCTGCGAAATCGCATTACTTGTCTGCGTGAGACCAATCGAGGATCAAAACATGACCACTCTGGAGAGAAATTTAAAATATAAACTAATTGCTCGCTTATTTAAATGTCTAATCATCTTGTTTAGTCCCACCCCTTTTCGCAGCGCGGTACTTCAAAATTTCGCAAGCTTAAACTCTAGTGTGACCGCAGCTTTATTTGGATTTTCTGTGTTTAATTAGGGTTGGAGCAAAACTGTGCAGAGCTGCGGCCTTCCAGGAATTGAATTTGAGACCTATGATGACTTATACTGTTATGTGTCTAGAGCAGCCCAAACTCAGTTCTGGAGGGTGGGTGTCCTGCAGATTTGAGCTCCAACTTGCCTTAAGACACCTGTAGGGATGTTTCTTGAAGAACTTGATTAGCTAGCCCAGGTGTGTTTGATTGGGGGTTGGAGCTAAACTCTCCAGGAGCGTGTTTGGGCACCCCTGGTCTAGTGTAATGCATTTAGCTATTTATTTAATTTTACCTGTAGAGTGGATTTGCTTTACATAATTGACAGAATTTAAGTTTTTTAATCTCATGGTATAAATCTCTCAATGTGGTACCAAAGCAGGGGAAATGGTGTTTCTTTTTAAAGGTTGCATTTGTACCTAAAGGTCTTTTGGTATATTGTATTAGTAACTGAAGTATACATTTAAATCATTAACATGTACAAATGTGCCCCATTTGTAACCCTTTGAAAAAGTATTGGCCCGTAAGTTTCTGTACCTTTGATTCTGAGGTTGTAGATTACATTTGTTTCAGTGATTTAACTTATTAAAATATTCCTCGGTTCACCTATTGAAAAAACATCAGCAGCTGGTAAAGTCTTTCATTATCAATTTTGCTTGAAATTACACAATCTAATCTAGTTTATGTGGATGGATGTTTGAAGAATGGAACTCTGATCGTGCTAAATTCTCAATAACAACCGAAAAGACAATCTGCATGAATATGTTTGGTCACTGAATTCTGTTCAGTTTTTGTGTGTTTTAAAGTTGGTTGACAGAATATGACAAAACAAATGTTTGATTCATCATCTCATTGACAGTAATTCTGCATCATCTTGCTTTTAATCAAAAATAAACTCATTCCTTTGGGGGAAAAATGAGAATTCTGTCACTTCACCTGTTTGAGTTTCTTTCATCTATTGAGCACAAATGAATAAGATATAAAACCAGTAGCCATTGACTTCCATAGTATTTAATTTTACTACAATGGAAATCAATGGCTATCCAACATTTCTAAAAATATCTTCTTTTTTTGTGTTCAACAGAGAGAAAAAGGGAATTCATAAAGGTTTGTAACTATCCTTTTATTGAAATATATTTTGATATTTTTATACATTTATTCTACTTATTTCACACATATATACATGTATGCACAGTTCAAAAGATCAACGATAATCTACATTCATCTTGTGCTCTGCACTTCAAGACATAAAGGATCACAGACCCTGAAAAGAACAGTATCAAACTGAGGTATTTTTCTTTAAAGACTGTGAAATTCATGTAAATTCAAACAGTGAAAAAGTGTCTGACAAAACAGAATGCCGATTTTGTGAACACAGAGGATCTAATAACAATGCAATGACAGTAATATGAACAAATGTTGTTGACAGACTTGGGTATCCCGGTCAGGGAATGGAGGTCATCTGGAGCTGGGGTTCCAGAGCCCGGTCAGATTAGACGGGCTGGGCTTCCTGAGCAGCCTGAGGGAGAGGATGAAGAGGCCCAGGCTCATCACACCCAGCACAACCACACCCGAAATCAGTGCACTGGTGACCGCATTCAGAGGCTGGGACGAGCTGCTCACTGCAGGGCCACAGACAGGGGTAAGAGGGAAGAACGGGGCAGTGGAGGGTTTTTTGGAGGGTCAATGGGGTTGAATGGGATGGGGATCAAGAAATAGACAAGATAGTTGTGTAAATGGGTACCGGTGTTGTCATGGATCTTATTTGCAGAACATGACACTGGTGTCCATTGTTGCATTGTGAAAACAGAGCTTAATTCTCACAGAAAGGATGCAGGGAGTGGGTGTACACTACTGAAAAACATTTACCAGAGGAGTCACGGTTTTTATACCTTACCGAGTTGTGAGTTGTTGGTTGGAGATTCGTCTGCAGAAAACACACAAGATAAGTTTATCCTTTTTTTGGGGGGAGATAAAGGCATAATTTACTATTCAAATTCTATTTACATTTCATAAAAAATTTTGTCTGAAAGATCAGTTTCTATATATGTCCCACAGATTAATAAATGAAGAAGAATGCATTTTTATTTTATGTGTAAACTATCCCTTTAAGTAAATGCAATCAAAAATAATCATAATTCCAGGAGAACGATCTTAAGGTTTAACTTTTCTAGATAAATAGACAGACAAATAGACAGACTGACAAACTGACTGACTGACAGATGGACTGACAGACAGACAGTTTCTCACGGACAGATTCTTAGAGAAATCAGTCAAGTTTGGTGAAGGAAAAATCATGCTTTGGGGTTATATTGAGTATGGGGCATGCGAGAGTTCTGCAGAGTGGATGGCAACATCAACAGCCTGAGGTATCAAGATATTTGTGCTCCCCATTACATTACAAACCACAGGGGAGGATAGCGGATAGCGCTCCTTCTCATACTTCAGCCTCCACATCTAAAATTCCTGAAAGCAAAGAAGGTCAAGGTGCTCCAGGATTGGCCAGCCCAGTCACCAGAAATGAACATTATTAAGCATGTCTGGGGTAAGATAAAGGAGGAGGCTTTGAAGATGAATCCAAAGAATCTTGATGAACTCTGGGAGTCCTGCAAGAACTCTTTCTTTGTCATTCCAGATGACTTTATTTAATAATAAGTTATCTGAATCATGGCAGAGATATATGGATGCAGTCATCCAAGCTCATGGGAGTCAAACACAATATTTATTCTTTTTTCCACTGCACCATGACTTATATATTCTATACTGTAAATTATTTCTGGTTAGTGACAAGACTTTTGCCTAAGCAAAGTCAGAGCTTACTGTCCTAATTAAATAAGCGTAATCTAGAGGCCTTTGCCTTTTATATAAGCCGCTTTTGATACCAAATAATCAACTAGAAGCCAAGTTATTATTTTCTGTTCCTAAAACTTGGCAACAAGACTTTTGTCAGATAGCGTATAGATAGACAGACAGACAGACAGACAGACAGACAGACAGACAGACAGACAGACAGACAGACAGACAGACAGACAGACAGACAGACAGACAGACAGACAGACAGACAGACAGACAGATTTTTTTAAAGAGCAATATCTAAAATGAATAATTAATCGGGTTGCACTATTTACTGCTTGCATTTTTTTGCTGGAATGTTTAGAAGAAATATTGTATTAATTGATTCCATTACTGTGCCTTGTCCACCAAATTTTTAATTTGACTGATTCACTTGAGGTGATATTATCTTAAAGAAATTAAAAAATACATTATATGACTGATTAAACTACACATAAACATTTTACATAATTAATAAAAAATACAATCAATTTTTTTTGTGGTCTGTAAGATTTACTGATTGAAAATAAATACTTCTCTTCAACAAAGTATTCAAAAATGAAATGTTACAAAATCTGGTTTTAAATAAAAAGAAATATTATTTTAAACGTTATAATGAATTTATTTTGTATATTTACAGTTGAGGTCAGAATTACTAAACCCCCTTTGAATTTTTTTATACCTTTTTTAAATATTTCCCTGTGATGTTTAACAGAGCGAGGAAAATTTCAAAGTATGTCTGATAATATTTTTCTTCTGGAGAAAGTCTTATTTGTTTTATTTCGGCTAGAATAAAAGCAGATTTTAATTTTTTAAAAACAATTTTAAGGCTAATATTATTAGCCCCTTTAAGCTATATATTTTTTTCGATAGTCTACAGAACAAACCATTGTTATACAATAACTTGCCTATTTACCCTAACCTGCCTAGTTAAACTAATTAACCTAGTTAACCCTTTAGCTAGCTAACCCTTAAATGTCACTTTAAGCTGTACAGAAGTGCTTTGAAAAATTTCTAGTAAAATATTATTTTCTGTCATCATGGCAAGGATAAAATAAATCAGCCATAACAAAAATTATTAAAACTATTATGTTTAGAAATGTGTTAAAAAATCTCTCCATTAAACAGAAATTGGGGAAAAATAAACGGGGGCTAAAAATTCAGGGAGTTTAATGATTCTGACTCCAACTGTATTATAATCAGACTAGAGTCTAAACAATAGTACTTTAAAGATAGCTTTATTAATTGTAATATAATGTTGTGGAGTTGGCCAAATTTTTGATACCCTTCATAATCCACTTAAAACAGCAACTTCTAAAATACCAAGCAAACCTCAATTGTCATTGTTTTCAGTGCACTTAACCGACTATAAAGCTGAATATGGAGGCTCTTACCACTCCTGGTGATTATGGGGCCGGCGGTTATGACGGCGTCCCCTGAGGAAGAACCTGACACTGTATGCTCAGCCTCACTGTCTCTCCTCCTGCGTTTTCCACAGATCTGCCATGGCAGATATCACCATCAGGACACTCAAAATACATTATCAACTATAAAAAACTTCAGCTTTACGTTTACCGGCATAAGTATTGCACAGTCATCTGCCCGACACAGCTTTGTGATACAATGCAGAAACACAGTGGACATCTTCTGGTTCTTATGTTTCACAAAACGAAAGACTTCAAACGCAAAACGACCCATCTGACTTTTCCCGTTCTCAAAAACAGTGGTCTGTGGATCCTTGTAGCACCTATTAAACCCCCGTCACAAAAAAAGGGCTTCAAAAAGGCTGATGAAGTGATTATGTTCAGTTATAGTGAAATAGACACACAGTCGCGCACACACATTCATGCACACAAATGATTTCCTCTAAAAGGCCTTTGTGCATTGTATGGTAGTCAGTTAGTTGAGCAGGTAATGAGGACACACCGAGTTAATGCCACATAATTTCAGAAAATACCAAATTACCCAAAGAAAAGGTCATAGCGAATCTCATCTTTTGGGTTCCCAGAGGGGGTGGCGTAACAGTGATCCATCAGGACGTTCCACCTGTGGGACAGAAAACACAGACGCTTCTGCTGTCAAAGGAAATCAAATCTTTAATCTCGAGTTAAAAACAGATTGTTAAAAGGTTCAAGCACTGAATATTTAGCATGCGATATATGTGAAAATGTTTAGAAAAATGTTTTAATGGCATACTTTATAGTTGACATCATATAAAAACAGTGTTATTTTAGAAATATTGTTGTGTTTTAATGAATAGTTTGAATTGGTTTTAATTTTTACATTGTTTTAATTTTTTAAGTAATTTTATTGGTTAAATCAACTGTATATACTTTATATACAATGCTCAGCATAATTGAGTTCACCCCATTTTGAAAGTAAATATTTTTATTTATTTATCAGTAAATACAGGCAATGTATTTTGGTGCATTTAAACAAAACAGATTTATTAAACAGATATATTTTTATTAGAAATAATATTTGAGTCACCAAACATATTTAGAAATTCAAAGATAATACTATTAAATTCAAGCTAAATATTGCAAAAAAAAAATGAAAAACCTACAAAATTACAACTACATTTTTTCCATTTTTTAAAAATTTGTATTTAATATTTTTTCTCTTATATATAAATGTGAATGTACTACATTTTGAACCATTATCATAAGTTATTTTGTTAGATAAGCTCCAGATTTGGCTTCAATACTGACTAATCTAATGTATATGCACAAATATAATATTGTACAGCTTTCTATAAAAATGTATTATATATGCTGAGCACTGTATTTCTATTAAAATGTGTATTTCTCTACATGATGTACCTCCTATCTAGATTCGTAGCTTTAACGGCAGCAAACACACGAGTCTTTAAGGACAGTCCAGACACTGGTATAGAGATCAGCTGATTAAAGGTTGAGTCCTGTAAAATATGACATAAAGAACATTAATAATAGAAATCTGTGTGAAAACATGCCATTTTGACATTGTAGTTTAACAGCTACATATGCATTTCTGTACACAACCACATTTTAAAAATAGTTTACAATCAAACCAAATGTAATTATTATTTTTAAATCAACACATTTTCAAAAATCAATGTAAATATCAATAATATATATTTTAAAGAACTTTCATTCAAATGAAAATGTAAAAAGTTGATCAAAAAGCTATTCTGTTATCACAAACTTTTATTACTACTTTATCTTAATGAAGTTTATTTATAAACAAATTTCGAGAGGATCACGTGCTTATGATTGTTCTCAGCTGTTCAGCATCATGACCAAATATCCAATCAGATGATTCCTAACTCACTATAAATAACCAAAGTTTTCTTAATGACACGGCGGCCAGTGATTAGCACTGTTGCCTCACAGCAAGAATGCCTCTGGTTTAAGTCTCTTCTAAACAAGACAACATTTATGTGCAGAGTTTTGCTTGTTCTCCCTGTGCTCGCCTGGGTTTCCCCGGGTTCTCTGGTTTCCTCCCACAGTCCAAATAACACGCACCCTAAGTAAATTGAACACACAAAATTTATACCATAGTCAAGATCTAAGTGAGTGCACCTCTTCTCAGCCATCTATATCCATCTATATTAGCTAATTATAAGCAGGGGACACATCGAGATCTACCTTAGCTCAAACTCCCCTCTCGCCCTGCAAATGGGAGAAAGCCCAGAGCTCGAGGATCTCATAAACTCAGGGCTCTCTCCTGGGACAGCATGCCAAACAAGCTTTATTATCAATCATCATCTAAGGGTGAACTCTTAAATATATATATACATACATACAGTTGAAGTCAGAATTATTAGCCCCCCTAAATTATTAGACCGCTTGTTTATTTTTTCCACCATTTCTGTTTAATGGAGAGAAGATTTTTTTCAACACATTTCTAAACATAATAATTTTAATAACTCATTTCTAATAACTGATTTATTTTATCTTTATCACGATGACTGTAAATAATATTTTACTAGATTTTTTTCAAGACACTTATATACAGCTTAAAGTGACATTTAAAGGCTTAACAAGGTTAATTAAGTTAACTAGGCAGATTAGGGGAATTAGGGAAGTATTTGTTTAACATTGGTTCGTTCTGTAGATTATCGAGAAAAATATAGCTTAAAGGGGCTAGTAATTTTGTCACTAAAATGGTTAATAAAAAAATTCAAAACTGCTTTTATCCTAGCCAAAATAAAACAAATAAAACTTTCTCCAGAAGATAAAATATTATCAGACATACTGTGAAAATGTCCTTGCTCTGTTAAACATTTGGAAAATATTTTAAAAAGAAGAAAAAAAATCGAAGGGGGCTAATAAATCTGACTTCAACTGTATATATACATAAATAAATAAAAAACTACAGAGATCACTCACATTGTAAAGCACCAAGCTGAGAGTGCTCAGGAACGTGCCATTATTGTCTTTAACTGTTATTGCAGCAGATGAGCTGGCAAAAAAGCAGAATACATTACATGCATAAATTCAGTACAGAACCGGACCAATAGTAGAGAGATGTAGGTTGTTGCTTCAGTGAGGCAGACTCACGATGCCAGCTGGCTGTTGTTGAGCAGGTACTCCAGAGGATAACTACAGCTGAACTTATACACCAGTCCTGGCAGGTAGCTGATAACAGTTGGTGGGTCTGGAGTGTCGATGTAGCCCGAAATATTTCCCATTTGGACCATAGAGATGTTCCCATACGCATTGATGCCTTGAGTTGTAGAAACCTGTACAAAGATACAAAAGAGTCTTTAAGAATTTGAATATTTGTATTTATGTTTATGTACCCTTTATGTAAATCTCAGGAGATTTAATCATTTAATCTTAAAGTCAGCATGAAATGTAAATCTGCGATGCTTTTTTATTACCTATTCTAAACTTGTGTTTCTATCAGGGTATACACATTGGCGCAGCAAGTCGGCGGCTGTCGAAGGCTGTCTGCGGCGCCCAGCCACGACTCAGGACACAATTCATATTTCTGCTGTGACACAGAGTGCCATCTGATTAGTTTTTTTAAAATAGTATGCGAATGTGCGCGTCTGGTGTGCGATACTTTCAACTGTCATGTGCATGCCGGGTCACGGTTCTGAGCGGCGCATCTGGTGTGTGACGCCCCTAAGTGTTTCGAAACACTGCACCAAAGCATGACGCGAAACACCCAGGTCATGTGACTAAAGTGATTTGAAACACACTGGTCATGTCACTAAAGCGATTCATGGCATCGATCATTTCAGAAGCGTTTTGAAACCTATTTTAATAATGTTACTGTTTTATGGTGTAGTCCAGATGGATACAGCTGCGGATACTCCATCAATATAGCATCATTTCTGTAACACTGTATAACAATAATTGATATTTTTACAATACTGTGATGGTTGGGCTTAGTGTTGGGGTAGACGTTAATAAAATACAATAAATATGCAATTTAATGAATAATATAAATAATAATCGTTAACTTCCAGTCGCAATCATATCTGATCTATCAACAATTATGTTTTATGACCAAAACAAGACATATTTATTCACAAAGTGTTCTTTCTGATGTCAGACCAATGTTAAAACAAAACACATTACAAGAACAAAGCATTTCAAGCCTACCATCTGTTATGTAGCTGCATCGCTGCATGCTAGTCAGGAACTCTCACCACTCCACTAAATCATTTGAAGCTTCAACTCTACAACACAGGGTTTAATACCTCTATTTCCTTAACATTCTTTGCAGAAGCTGTTCCGGAGTAATCCATAAAAAATGACGAATAGACGTCACAATAGAGATTGGTTTCGAAACGTTTCGAAGCTTCCACACATTTGCTTTGACTGTTTCATGAAGCCTACTATTGCCCACCACTACATAAAGGTAATCCAATATATACGTAATCAAAAACAGGTAAATGGTCAGGCTAGACGGCAAAGAATTAATACACGGTAAACAAGCAAAAGGTCAAAACACAGGAAGAATAAACAAGGGGAAACGCTTTGTAATGTCCATAGGAAAAACAAGACTCAGCCGTGTGTGTGTGTGTGTGTGTTAAATATAAAGTTCAAGTAATCAGTCCATGATGAGTTACTAGCTCAGTGTGAGGGAATCAGAAACTGGTGTGTGTGAGGTGCATAATGTTATTTGTAGTCCAGTTTAGTGACAGATGTGCAAGCATTAGATTGCTGGTGATCATGACAAAAACATTCTCATAGTGATATTTTGTTATTCAAATCTGAAAATTGATAGGTGTTGTTTTAAATCAACATTCCAAGGAAATATTAAAACAAAAAAAGAATTTCTGTCATGAGACAGGGCACTGATTTCATACAGTACATGCCACCAGCACTAAATGCATGTTTGTAAAGCATTGTAAGAGAGACATGTAAAATAGGAAAATAAATTCGATTTCATTACTCCTATTAACTATAAGTTACTATTATGAATTTTCTGACAATTATTACTCTCATTATTAGATTTCTTTTTTCAGATTTCATTTTGCCACAAGAGTGCATTAATATGCAAAATAGACACAGTGTATAAATGCATTGTATGCAATGAAAAAACGTTGTATAGCCATTTTACACAAAACTAAATGGTTTGTCAAATAATTTTGTTGTTTGTTTCATAACAAAGTTGAAAATAACCATTTTGGAATGAATTTTGGAATAAGAATAACTCTAAAACAATAATTGTACTTCAGTGGACAGTGTCCTAAGGAGATCATGAATATAAACATTTTAAAATGATCACAGTTTTCGTAAATGCCTGTGTCCTGACCTGCAGTGTGTTCCCACAGGCCTCCAGTGAGCTCAGGCTAATGCTGAAGAGCACCGCTGTGGGAAAGGTGTTGTTGTTTATGAAGCCTCTGCACTGCGGTTCTCCATGACGGCTGTTCAGTGCCAGGTCAACATCAGTGTATCCAGAGTACAACACAGGACAGAGGTTGATCTTCAGTGTTATCGTCTGAACACCACAGTAGATGCTGATGTCTCTCTCACCTTGAGGGAAACACAATATCACGAGTGCATGAAAAGGCATCACTTCATAAAACTAGCCTTTTTATATTCATTAGTGTGATGTTTTAAGAGCAAAATTAAACAGAAATGTTACTGTAAGTTAAAAAATGTCTAACTTTCAAATGACAGCAGCACTCAAGTTCCAAAAGATTCAAGTTATTTTTGAGATGCTATTAATATTATTTGGGCGACACGGTGGCGCAGTGGGCACTGTCGCTGGTTTGAGCCCTGGCTTGGTCAGTTGGCATTATTGTGTGGGGTTAGCAAGTTCTCTCCGTGTTGTGTGGGTTTCCTCCAGGTGCTCCGGTTTAAAAAATAGAACACCTTGTAAAAAATAGTTGTTACGAAACACCAACATGGTGCAGCAAAATATCAACTTCGATATAAAAGTAAGTAAGTAAGTATTAATATTATTTGTCTATGTTGCTTCTGCTTTATAGGGGAGTGTGATTTGAATATGTAATAACACACAGTAGTCTAGTAGTTACCTTTTTAACAGCTTAATACAAAAAACTAACACAAAAACAAACAGAAAACACTCTTCTAATAAAATGAAATAATTGTAATAATAAAAATAATAATAAAAATATTTTCTGCTTGTTCAGAAAACTCATTTGAAGTGAGTTGAAGCCACAATTCTTGGGTATTTTTGGGACAACTTAATTGTTTTTGTTCAATCCACTTAAAGTTGGTTAACCAGTTAAATTCACTTAATTTGTGTTGGGACAACATGTCAGAGTTATGTGGAACCCAACTTTTTTATAGTTTATGTTACTTGGTCAAAAACATTATCACTTAAATCCTGCATGACAACAAATGAAATGAAATCACTGTCGGACAACATGTAGGAATTGTGTGGAAGCCTGCATTTTATTTATTTATTTATTTATTTATTTTTTACAGTCAATTTAACTTGGTCAAAAACATCATCACTTCAATCTTGCATCAAAACTAATGAAATGTCTTTTTTATAGTATGTTAAATATTAAAAGTAGTTATTTAAAGAGTTATTTGAAGAGCAAAAACCTCTTAGTGTCATCTAAAATTTTATTCTAAAATTAGCATTTTTCTCAGGCCCCTATGTCTTGATTTAGTAATTTCACTTTTATGGCAAATAATAGGTTATTTTCGTTGATTTTAACATGAAATAACTGAACATAAACATGAGAAGCAGAGAATAATGCTCACTGTTGAAGAAAATTCTAGATGCCACTTTTTTGGCACTTTTTTTTATTTTTTTCAGGTTTTTGCATCTGAACTCTTCATTTATATAATTTAACAGCATTTATTTTTATTTTTGCAAATGATTTAACAATCCTTTTTCTTAATATTTAAAACAGTTCTAAGATTATAAACTTCTTTATTGTTAATTTCCATAATTTTAGTTTCACACAAACAAATTACACAAACAAATTACAAAAACAAAACACTTACTGACCCTTAATGTTTGAGCCTCACTTTATCACCGTTCACATTCTCCAGCATATACAGTAAATGTTGTCTCTTACCAGGAAATCTGCTGTGGTAGTTGGGATCACAGTTGAATCCATTGAATTGTGAAAAAGCTAAATGAATCCCCTTGAAAAGCACAAGAATAACACACATCCACTCCATCTCAACAGCTGGAAACAGAGAACACATCATTTCAACAACAACAAAAAACAATAAATTTGAATAATCTTAATGACAATATCTTAAATGATGTCTCTCTAACCTCAGTCCCCTGATGCAGGTCCGGCCTGCTGCTGATCAGTGAATGTGCAGCCTGGCATCTCAATCGGCCCATCCGCACCACAGGCCCTCCACTGCGGCCCGAAACAATAAGCCATTATCAGAAACCTCAAACAAAAAGAGCTGTCCCGGACAACCTGGGAAAATCCATCACAATCTCAAAGCGCTGAACAAATCTTTTCGGATGAAGCCAGAAACATGAGCAGCTTTTACGATTTCCCACTCGTCTCCTCATGGCTTGATCTGCCTCTGTCATCGCTCAATAATGTCTGAGCTCAGTGTGGGACTGAAGGCAGGAATTATGCTTTCATCGGTGTCTGAAGGGCCTCTTGTGTGTGTTGCTCCATCAGGGCTGATAGTGAGTGTGTGCTGCTATTGTCGCCATGGCCTCCTGCTTCCTCGCACTTAAACACTCACCGAGACACTAGCTGAAGATATGATCGCAAACATGACCAGTTTCTGACATTAAAAAGCACAGCTATTAGATGGGACCTGTCACCCCTGTTGAAAAAAAAGCAGGCTTGTAGGAGCTGGTCTCTCAACCAGTCATATAAGAGGGTTTTTTGACACATTTTTTGGCTGGTGTTTTAAACGACACTACCAGTCTAAAATCTTGTCGCCTATCCAAGTTTTAGGAACAGCAAATAATAACTTGACTTTTAGTTAATCATTTGGTATCAAAAGTGGCTTATTTGAAAGGCCAAGGATTACGCTTATTTTACCAAAATAAAATATGATCATGCCTTGATTTTTTATTATTCACATATAATGATAACAAATAATTATTTGATCAAGCTATATTATAAGGTATTGACCTTATTCTTCAATGTGGAATTGATTTGATTTGATTTGATTGTTTTAGAACTTCCGAATCAGGTGCTCTTGAGAGAAATGGCCAGAAATAAAAAAAAAAAAAAACGGCAGAAAATGGCCAAACCAAATACATAAAAAGTAGAATAATATAATGAGAAAAGATCAGTTTGTAACATGAAGCAGCATAACAAGCCATTTAACACCTAAAAATCAATGGAAGTGAATGAGACAGGAAGTCTCGAGCCAAAAAGAACATAAATATAACATAAAAACATAAATATATAATTTCTTGTTTAATTTTAGCTTATTAAGCCTAAATATCTTTAAAAAAAATAGCTACTTAATGCACATTACTAATTACAAATTGTGTTTCGATAGATTACAGTTGGTAATTTACTACATATCAACATGAAACATGATTTTTATCAACATAGTTTTTGGCATAAAAGAACAATCAATACTTACCAAAAAAATAAATGTGCAACCAAACCAAACAAAACAAAACAAAACACAAAATAGCAGAAAACAAGTCTAAAAAAAAAAGAAAAAACAGCAGAAAACAAGACTAAACAAAACAAAACAACAGAAAACAAGACTAAACAAAACAAAAGAAAAAACAAAACAGAATACAAAACAAAAAACTAAACTTAACAAAACAAAACTAAACACAAAACAAACAACACAACTAAAACACGAAACAAAACTAAACACAAAACAATACAACAGAAAACAAGACTAAACAAAAACAAAAAACACTAAAAGACTAAACAAAATAGAAAACTAAGCAAAAAACAAATGAGCAGAAAGCAAAACTAAACACAAAATAAAAAACTAAACTAAACTAAACTAAACAAAAAACTAAACAAAAAAAAAACACACACACAAACATCTAGACCATAATATTTACAATGCATTCATTAAGTTGGCTTTATTGGCAAAATACCATATAAACTACTCTATTTATGAACATCCATAACAATTCCCAGGGCACAGTTTCAATTGTTGGGATGCTCATGTGCTTCATGAGACCGACAGACTATTGAACTTTTACTTCTTAGGCTGAAATCAAATATGTTGACCTTGTGACAAGGTTACTATTGAGGCTAAATGGGATCAAATGGCTCTGTGCACCTGAAAAGAATCCATAATAAAGGTGAAAACACAACCATGTATATTTACAACACCCATGGAATGACCCAGATGTACAGTAATCAAACAGACATGTGCTCTGATTCATCCTCAAGACTACATGACAGACTGCATTCTCATACTGGAGAAGATTTACATTTAGGAACTTTATATGTAGTGGTTCTCATAGGTAAAATATGAGTTATATTTAGTTATATATAAATTATGAACGACACGGTGGCTCAGTGGTTAGCACTGTTGCCTCACAGCAAGAAGGTTGCTGGTTTGAGTCTCGAGTGTGTCAGTTGGCATTTCTGTGAGGAGTTTGCATGTTCTCCCCGTCTTCGCCTGTGTTTCCTCTGTGTGATTTGGTTTTCCCCACAGCCCAAACACATGCGCTTTAAGTGAATTGGGTGGACTAAATAGGCCGTAGTGTATGAGAATGTGTGTGAATGTGAAAGTGTAAGGGTGTTTTAGGACTTGGTTGTGGCTGGAGAGGCATCCACTGCGTAAAACATATGCTAGAACAGTTGGTGGTTCATTCTGCTGTGGCGACCCCTGAGAAATAAGGGACAAATTTTAATGATAATGAATGAATGAATATATTAATTATATTATACCAATGATCAACTGCAATTTTTACATTTAGGTAAGACTTATTGGGCAAAAACACTGATTTTCATGCCCATTGGTTTTGTTATTTTGGCCTTTTTTGGTGTAATGTAAGGAAAACATCCAAAACACTTATTAGTGTTTATTTTGTCACACTTTATCAGTGGTGTAAAGGAACAAATTATAAGTTCTCAAATGACTGTAATCAAGTAGTTTTTCTAAGGAATTGTAATTTACTAAGTAGTTTTATAAATGTGTACTTTTACTTTCCCTTGCATACCTTTTTACTGCTGTATCAATACTTTTACTCTACTACTTTCCTTCAACCTGCAGTCACTACTTTATTTTTTCTTGTCTATGGGGATTAGAAAAATCTGTCCTGTGATTTCTGTCCAATCAAATCACACATAGAAGGTAAATCACATCATACTGAACTACCTAAAGATATGGGTAATTAATAATTTCAGCAAACTGTTAGGAAGCATTAAAAGTGTACAAAAGAAGATGTCCAAAATCTTTACGCGCATTGACCCAGAGACCCAAGATGACAAATGTTTAATGGATGATGACCAACATGGCCTTAAACACCCAGCAGGCACAAGATGTCAATAAGACATCAGATTGACGTCGTATCCTAATGTTGTGGGAACATTGCATTTTGTTTGGAAATGAAAAACGGGGTTGACGTCAAAACTCAACATCAGATTGACATCAATGTCCAACCTAAAATCAACCAAATATCAACATCTAATGATGTAACAGCTTGACGTTGTGTGGACGTTACCACTATGACGTCTATCAGATGTTGGATTTTGGTTGTCATACCTGACGAATAATTGTCAGTATTTGACCTCAATATGACGTTGGTTTGAGATGTTGGCTCAATGTTAGATTTTGGTCACTTTCTAACAACCTAAAATCAACCAAATATCAAAGTAATTTTGAAATCGTTATGGGACATCAAAATAACAGTGTGCTTAGACGCTGGCTAGACATTGAATTTTGGTCATCTGACATCACAACCTAAATCTAACCTAATATTAATGTCTTATGACGTTTTGTGCCTGCTGGGCAATAACTAAATGCACTACAGAATGTTACGTTTACACACATCAACAAATTAAATGGAAATGCATCAGCTTTTTACAGTTTAATACTCACTACTCATTACTCTTGAGTACTTTTGAAAGGTATACTGTTTACCCATACTTTGAGTAATATTTACAACAGATACTTTTACTGTACTTGCACTACATTTTTATGCAAGTAATGGTACTTTTACTAAAATATAATTATTCAGTACTCTGTCCACCACTGCACTTTATCAATTTACATTCTAATATTTCAATTACAATCTTTTAAAAGCTGCTTCATCAAAATTATTATATTTTTTCTTGCATAAATCTCCACTTTAGCAGCACTTTTACTCAATTAATTAGTTAATTACGAGGTTTTTGTACTATAATATACAACAAATGTTAATAAAAGTCAGTTTTAAGATTTCAGGGTTAAGATTTGTTGGAAGAAAGATCAAGATCCCATAAAGTAATTCAAAACCAAAAGTAAACTGGGAAAAATAAAGACATGAATCACAAAATACGAAAAACTGCTAATTTCTAAATTATTTTTTTACACTGTAGTTCACATCCACTATGTTGTGCAGAGAAAAACAGACATATTATGTACCCTTTCATTTCTCATGAGTAGAACTAGCATAAATTACTGATGCTTATTACGACAGTCATATAAAAACGATTATTACTTATTTTTTGTTGTTTTAATATAACTTGTTTTTATAATGGACAAAGTGTTATATTGAATATAGGTTATACTATATGTGCCCGTTATGACCCACCCATCTAGAGGAAAACTATCCAGAATAACTGACAGCAAGGGACTTTTGGCATACAGGTTTTGTTATTATGAATAATAAACCTTTGAAATGTGACTACAGTTTTCAGAGGAGGACAAGACATGTGAGCTGAGCTAACATTTCACTTACACGATTTGTCAAGCTCAGTTGTATTGGACCCTCCCATTTATTTTCCCTCATGATTTGTGACCCTGGACCACAAAACCAGTTTTATGCTGTACAAGTATATTCCTGGCCATATAGCAAACATTTTACTCAAAAATGTCAAAAAATCTAGACTTTTTTAAAATCATTAGATATACAAAAGTCATGTTTCATGAAGATATCTAGTAAATTTCCTACTGTAAATATATCAAAACTAAATTTTTATTTTACTTCCCTCAGATTCCAGATTTTCCAAATAGTTGTATCTCAGTTAAATATTGTTAACAAATCATACATCAATGGAAAGATTATATATTCCGCTTTCAATTGATGTATAAACATCAATTTCCAAAAACAATGCAAATTTTTTAAAGCAAAATTTGTAATAAATCCATGAAGGCTTTCTTTTGTTAAGGTGCTCAGATGACCAAAACGCTGATTTCTCAACAAGAGTGTAAATAAATTTTAAAAGAGCCTGAATTTAATTTGACTTAAATTTAATTGTATCTAATTTATTCTTTCTCATTTGCTTTTCATATACAGACGGACAGAAAACATCTTGTTCTTTGGGTTTTATAATATAAAAAAAAACATTGGTTTATATAAAAAAAAAACATTTAATTGGGTTAGTTAAAAAAACTAAACATTCATTAAACATAAGTATGTTTTTATCTCATATACTGTAAAAAGGATGTTAAACGGAGCGCCAGAAGTGCCATCGGCAAAAATGCAACAGCGCCCTCTCGTGTTCACCGTTGCACTCATGTAAGGAACATAGAGGAAGCCAGTGAAATAAAGCAATAGAGAAAGAAAGAAATTGAAATAAAAATAATGAATAACCGAAAAATATTAAAAAATATAAAATACAACAAGAAAAACATATAAAATAAAGCTTACAATAAAAATTAAATATTAGGAGCATAAGTAATT